ATTCACTGGGTTTTTTCCCAAAAAAAAGAAAACAGTAACAAATGCGATGCGTATTTATAAATCTGTTCAGATCTGACGTCATTTTTGGTCTTACAGAAACCTCACAGATTTCTATAGGTATTCGTCGTAATATTTGGATTGAACAGAAACAAGCAAAGTACAACAGTATTTCACAAACGGAGATCTCATCATTTCACACTATTCATCATTAACAACAGGTTAGTAATAAAACTTTCCAAATTCACATTTATCCTTCTGAGCGAATTTCAAAAATAATTAAGAGAAAAACATAGGGACTAGACTATTAAGGTCCATGCAGATTAATTTTATGCTCATCTCTAATCCTTTTGATATTGAGAGGTGCCAGGCAAGGGTCGCAGTGATTTGAATATAATTGCCTAAGTGATTTTTTAGAGACTTAACTTCTGAAACTCTTTCGGATTCTGGAAGACCAGAATGTTTCACATATGTAAAAGCCTCAACAGCGATCTTTCGATGTACAATCTATTTCTCTGTCAAAGAAAGAATAACAGTAGATTGGTACTTTAGCTTGAAGAAAAAATTCTTTATAGAATAGAAACTTTAAAATATTTTTCAATTGTCTCCATTCTCGTAATGAGAATTTTTCTATAACATTCAAGCGTCAGATCATCTTTAATTATTGACTGAAAGATAAATCATTTCTGAAGCGAATGAAGACTTTCTCTTCTCATTTCTAACAAATAGGCGAGGCTTTTACAGCAACAAAAATAGCAAAAGAAATCAGACATATTGGTCTGGCAGATCGTCGAAATTACCAATTAATTCATTTAGAGGTAAGTTTTAACAGAAAAGTTACCAGGAAGGTATTGCTAATTGATACACAGACTCGAATGTGTACATCGTAACTAAATTCTGAATATCTTTGCACTAGTCTAAATAGGTGAATCCCTCTTCATGCAATACATATAGAAATCGAATATATGTATTCAAGTTGCGGTAGACGTAGTATGAGCCTATTTTAAAAAAACAGTAGGAAAACGCAATGAACTAAAGTTTTTGGAAGCTTAGATCATTAGAGGTAATTTAGAGATCGTTTTCGAATCCTAAAGACAATGAATTCAACAACTGTATCACAATAAATGCGAATTGTTACATACTCTAATGTTCAATTATGTGAATATGTTGCGTCACAATTAGATCTTACTAAATTCTACGCAAAATGCCTAAAACAGCAATTCGATCATAATTTTAACTTCAATTTCATTTTTGGTTCGGTCTGAACAGCCGTGCGATCGAGGAGTAATGGAAAACATGGATGATCGAGTAGGAATACTCTGTTTTAACTATGTAATATCTTCATAAATAAGTTGAAATCTTCGATCATGTGACAGTTACAGTTACCTTTTGAAAGGATGAGTAGTTTGTTTTTTCTTTTATCATACATGAATGGATAAGTCCTATTCGCTAAATGCATAAATGTAAAATGAAAATTTTTTCTTTAAGTTTTACTTACATCTAAGCTTAGATGTAGTAGAGATATTTCACGGTAATATTAATGCACTCATAGGTCAGTTCACACTTCATTTTATATGTTAGACTTTTGGAAAAATGATGGAAGATTTTTCGAATGTTCCCAGAAGGATGTGACGCTAGGAACTGCGTAGTAGCAAGAAACTTGACAAGTCTCACCACTTTTCCTGAATATCAATGGAGAATTTGCTAATTCTGAAGGGATTCTGAGTTATCTGGGTCTTCACTATTTCTTTCGTTCGAATCCACTATATCAATTGAGTCACTTAATGAACTACATCTGGACAACTTCTATTCATATTCCCATCTTTTGTCTTTACAGTCGAAAATACGAAGCCAACAACGATGGATACATTCGTAAATGCATATGATGAAAAAATTCGTCCTCTGATGGACAAAATAGATCAAGCTCGAACCATTTTATCATCGAGTAATGATGGTATTATTTTTCCCAATGTGGTCGTAGTCGGCGATCAGTCCAGTGGCAAATCAACACTATTAGAAGCATTGTCTTTAGTTGAACTTCCAAAAGGTTCTGGTATTGTTACAAGATGTCCACTCGTTTTACGATTACGTAAAGCCAATGAACGACGAGTCTATCACTTACATAATGATAATCGAAAAGTCCAATTGGATGAATCGAAATTAAATATCTTAGATTATATCGAAGCAGAAACAAAAAAATTAGCTGGTGTTCATAAAAATGTTGTTCAGGATTTGATCGAATTACAAGTCGAAGATCCAAATGTACGTGATTTAACTGTGGTCGATTTACCTGGCATCGCCAGAAATCCTATTGCCGATCAACCACAAGACATTCATAAGCAAACAACCAATTTGATTCGCCAATTTATTCGTCAAGAAGGCAGTGTGATTCTATGTGTCTTTCCAGCAAATGTCGATATCGCCACTGTCGAATCATTCACGTTAGCACGTGAATTCGATTCTGAAGGTAGTCGAACAATTGGTGTTATAACAAAATCTGATCTTGCTCCAGATAATACTGTATTAGCTCAACAATTACTAATGGAAAAACCGGATGTATTTCAATTAAAATTAGGTTTTATTGCTGTTCGTAATCGAAGTACAGATGAACGAATTTCTCTTGAAGATGCACGTAAACGTGAAGGAGAATTTTTTCGTGAACATTCCATTTCAACTCTTGTCGGATCATATTGTCTTGGTGTTGATGCATTAATTAATCGTTTAGCTGATTTATATTCTGATCGTGTTCGTGAAATCTTTCCAAAAATGAAAAATGATATACAAAAAAAATTAAAAGAAACTCGTGAACAATTAGAAAAACTTCCACCAAGTTTAGAAACTGCTTCAGCACGTTTAACAAAATATTATGAATTAGCTGAATTTTATATTGAAAAAATTCTCAAACAACGTTTTACAATTTCCAATGATGGTCAACATTCTGTTAGTTTAGTCAATCATTTACATATAAAATTGACACAATTTGAAAATGTTATTTTTCGACAAAGTCATGAATTTTTTACAGAAGAATATCATGTAAAAGTACGAAATGCTATGTCAGCATGTTTTGGTGAACAACTACCAAATTTTCTTCCACACCCTGTTCTTAGACGTTTAATAGGAGAAAAACTTGATCAACTTTGGTCGGTAGCAAATTTACTCATCAATGAATGTTTTAAGAAAACAATGAATATTTTATCGGAAAATGATTGTGAAGAATGTCATGATGACATTTTACTATTAAAATTGTTGCCGATTTTTCGTCGTATTGCTATTTCGTATTTGAATGATAAGAAACAAACAGTGAATGATCAACTTAAAGAACTTATTCGGTTAGAAAAACATGATCCGTATACATTGAATAATTATTATATGGAGACAATTTCTAAATGTAAAGAGCATTTAGCAGAAAAACGAGCGAAAAGTACAACAGAAATGAAGAAATCTTCATCGACAACAGATCATGATGATATACTAATGTTTGACTCGATCTCAAATGATGATCAAGCAGTACAAGATATGTTAATCAGTATATATGCCTATTGGAAATTGTTAGCCAAACGTTTTATTGATTATGCAGCACTATCTTTACGTGCTGGATGTGTTTTTGACGTATGTAGTGGTATAGGAGATCGTTTAAGACAATTGCCTATTAAACAAAATGATTTTGTTGATACACATCTGGCTGAAGACACGTTCATTAGGAATAAACGAAAACAATTACAACAAACAAAAGAACGATTGGAGAAAGTTTATGCAATACTTGGTGGCGATTCTATCACTGTGGATGATAATGACACATTGACGAATATGGAACCAATGGGATGTGATACAACCATGACTTTGGATGAACTTTCAGAAAGCCTCTCTCGTGCTAGTAAACATAAGACTATTAACTCTTCAACTGTTACAGTGAACAATTTGGTTACTGAACTAAGTTGGTTGCAGCCACAGACGGTTCCTACTAATTCGATACACATCACAACGGCTGGAAGTGTTGACAGACGTTAATGAAAGGCAGACTTAACAATGGGTGAACTCTTATCATAATATTCTAGACTGAACAGATCCGTATTATTGAAATATTAAATCCTAAATTTTCTCTTGATTTTTTTGCATCTCAAGTCTTGTATACCAGCTTTTATGAAACACGACCGGGTGTGGATGTGGGTGTAGAGTGTGGGGTGTGGGGTGTGAGTGGGTATGGCTGTGCAGTTCGGTCTCTTCCTTACACTTACGTCCACACCCACATTCTTTAACTATGAAATCGTTCTAACTATTATATACAGGTGTATATACTGATTTTTTTTCCAACATAAATCGTGATTGTGATTATGCTTCATACCTGTGGAAGAGAACAGAACAAGATAGACGACGGCTTCGTCAATGCTCTCTTACTCATTCTCCTTATAAACACTAGAGAAAAAATATCAACGATCGTAATAAACAGGAATTTGCTGCGTCTAAATGAAACAACGCCATAGTGAATACAATGCTTGCTGCGTGCTGTTTTTTACAAGTTGGAAAAAAATCAACTGCTGACAGTTAAAAGAATAAATCATTTGTCGATTGTTTACTCAGTCTCTTTTGTGTACACGAAAGCAACAATTAAGATATGCATTGTAAATCAATGTTTCTTATATGCAAAATAAAATGAATCATAACACGGTATGCGCACAGTGCCCGCGCGAAGGACCAAATATTGGAGAGGGAGTGTGTGTAACATAGTATTTCCAGGAAAATCTTGCAGAAAAACCATAAAATGTAGACAAAATCAGCTCTTATCGCTGGGGAAAACTGAAGCTTTTTGATTATTGAGGAGAGCGGGTGCACCACTCCAATCCCCCCGCTCGCGCAGGGATTGGTGTGGGTTTAGAGATCAACCACATCCACATCCTTAAAATTGAATTAAAGACAAATTGATTGACTCGAAGACAAGTGAATTTTAAACAAATAAAGAGTTTTTCTCATTTCACGAATGATTGTTTATATCAAACACCGGTATAAATTAATTTCTCAATATAATAAAGTAAAAAACACTTTGCTGTTAAACATTTACGGGATTTAATATTAATCTGTTCAGAAGAAATAAAAAGAGTTGTCATATATAATTTAAGAGCATTAAAATATATAAAGTGAGTAAGCATTACTTTTATGGATCAACAAACGAGAGCACGAGCACATGTGCAGAGAGGTGTACGATAAGACAATATTCAGGTAAAACAAGTAGAAGTTTTTGTCTGACTATATGGCACTCTTCACTACAATCGTATAAAATTATAGAACAATTTAATAAAACAATATCAATTCTAATTTATTCAATCTGAGTGAAACTTTGTTAAATACAAAAAAAACAGTTTGTGAAATAAATAAAATTCTTTATTTTTTCAAATTTTTACTGTTTGATCGGCTTCATCAATTTATTTCGAGTCGAAAATCAATATCTTCCGGACAAAATAATAAATGACAACTATTTGAAAATGAGATTGATTAGTATCAAATAATCAAGATCTGAGGCTGAGGAATTTGGATAAAGCGAAGTTCACTATTCTCTTCCATCGCTACCTCGAGCCGGTAAACGGAAGAACGTAACTATATAATTGAAACAGTGATAATAATACCACTATTCTTTTCTCGAAGTTATATAGCACAAAATCATTGTTTTACCGAAGCAAATGAAAATTCATCAGTACTATGAATGTCAAAGTATCAATCATAGTCAAGACTTGAAAGATCAAACATGTTCCTCATAAACGCTTTCGTGGAGACAGTTGCTCAGTATGATACGAAATGCTCCTCCCGTTTATTAAGTAGTTAGTTTTATACTAATTTCTTATTGCAAACAAATGCTAGAGTCTTTATGAAACAAGTTATTTATCTAAATCTTGGATGACTTTATTGATTTGTATTCATGAAATATGAACAATAACGCCAATAGATCTTCTGCTAGTCAGTTTTTTTCTTTGTCCTTCTCGCATTAGTTTATCTAATCTTGTTGCATATCATACTATACTGGTTGCACTTGACACACTTAATCACGCATGTGAGAAGAACTTTTCAGTTTCAATACGAATGCATACATTAGTTCGATAGGTATTTGATTTGTTGCTCAGTCATAGATAAGCGTAGAGTTTGTGACTATTGTGTCATCTCTAACGTACAAACTTTATAGTATAACTGAATATTGTTCTTTTCATAGTAGATCTATATATGTAAGATGATTTCTTGTAGAAATTTTTAAACAAGATACTTTCAAGCTAAATTTGATTGTTCATAATGAACGACATAATTGTTATTCTCTTTAGTTGAGAAACTTTCCAGAATACAATAAAACACATTTATGTCATATTGAATCTGGAAGTGAGATTAATATAACTATAAGATACATCAAATCATTTGATTTCATCGTCTTTCTTATATTATTGTTAACATTGAATCATTTTTCTATATATTTATTGAATACTTTGTCAATTGATAGACTAATATTAGATTCTTTTTTTTTTTAGAAAACTTTTTGATAAATCGCCATCTCTTCTGTCCTGTTCTTCAAGATGTATTTGAAACAGAAAAACAAATAGAATTTTATTTTTTCTTAGAATAAACAAAAAAAAAACCAATTTGATCCAACATGTTCAGTTACGTGTGATACGATTTCTGGGAAGAGCATCAGAAGTAATTCGTCTTCCTTGACGTTGATAACAGAAAAATTTCTCTAATTTCTTTTTAAGTTCAGGCAATGTTCCTAAACATACAAATGGAAAAAGAAATACAATATAATAAGAGAAAAAATAAGCATATGACATAAACTCCGCTCCCACAGTTCTTGATATTCCAAATGCATAAAAAATATTTAAAAATACTCCTGGAGCACTAAAAACAATGTAAAGTATTGAAACAGATAATAATTGTATTGTCATTTTTCGTTGTTTTCTCCATTGAATTGATCGATGTAAATGAGCTTTTTGACATAAAACACGTATTAAAAGAGTTAAACTAAATATAATTATAATAAATATCGGAATTATTTGATGACATACTAGTTCCCATATTGCAATTATATTAACATAATAGTATATACAAGGAAAAGGAACACCATATGCAGGTAATCGATAAAATATATATGGACAAAATGGAGCAAATATAATTATACAATAATAAATAAAACTATATAGAATAAGTATAATTAATGGTAGATAATGAATAAAGAAACGTCTTTTTCTATTTAATAACCAACGATGATGAAATATAAGAATATGTCGTTCAATTGTTGACCAAGAAAATATTATAAATTGTGTTCCATATAATGCATAATCAAGAAATGACCAAAATACAGAAAAACTTACTGAAAATTTCCAATTAAAACCATAATGAAAAAAATTAAGAATAAATGGAATATCTATTAATTCATATAATAAACAAATAAAAAGAAGAATTATAATAACATGATTATTCAATGTTTGACGAAGAACTCGATCAAATAATAAATAATAAAGAACAAAGAAACAACAAAATATTGATAGAATATTTGAAATAAGAAAAAGCCAAAAACGAAAACTATATGAAAACACAATATCAGGATAGAAATCAATACTTCCTTCAATTGACATGTTGCTTGAGTTTGACATTCTTGAATAAATTCAATTCTAAAAAGATAACAAAGAAAAATATAATATCTAACGACTTATACTAACAACTCCAATCAGCTTACTTTTTTCTATAGTATCTAATAATCCTCTTATGTCTAGAGAAAGTTTTTTTTTTTAATCAATATTCAGTTATATTAATACTATTTTAATCATTTACAAAAATAGCATCAAAATTTTAAAGAACAATTGACAGGTATCTAATCCAAATTAAGAAGATTTGATATATCAGAATCAAACTAACATTCTCCATCCAAACTATCAAATTCAAAATATGAACTATTCATGTTAAGTTTTTCCTCTCATAGGAAAGATATCTACAATTCATATATCATAAGATGTCACTTTCTGATTGATGACAAGAGTAAATTTATATTAGTAAGTAGCTTATTAATTCTCAATACAGGAGAAGATTAGTTCAACAAAAGAATGTCAAAAAAAGACTTGCTTATACCGATAAAGATTATTGTCCGAGCTTCTAAACATGTAAAAACTAGTTATGAAAATTTTTAGAAAACTTATATCTGGCATTTCATATTTTTGATAAATAACATTAACAATTGGTAAAACATTTTTTTTTGTTTGTGACAATAAACAATATGTATATTTGTAAAAGAGATGTTCACTTGACTAATCCTAACAAATTCTAAAGCACTTCATATAGAAAAACAAAGTTTTTGTTTTTCCAATATTTTAATTAATTCAAAATGTATGAACAATACCAAATTATCCAAATAACTATTTGAGAATTTCACGAAAGCCTCAATCACTTTTTAATGTGTACTCATGTGAACGTTGAGCCGGAAAAACTAGCTTAAAATAGATTATAATTTTCGCTTAAAAGCACTTGTGAGTGCACATTTTAAGCTACCATAAATCGATTACAATCTGAAATCTAAATGCTTCCAATCGTAGAAATCATAAGTGCTTAACTGTGTGTACTTACACTTTTTTTTTATATTTTTATGATTTTCTTGTATGCTATTATATTGTTTACACAGAAGATAAGATGCTGATAATTCGAGATCTGAAAATGTTTTTTTTAATTTATTTTTATAGAATAGCTGAAAGAGAATTTCCTAGTTTAAATAATCATGCTCTATAATAGTTTTCTATTTATTTGCTGATATTGTTAGACATAGAGTGTTGTGCATCTTTTTTATATAATATTATTTCTTTCTTAAACAAAGTAATGTTGTTAATGTCATGATAAAACATTAAAAGAACATGTTCGTATGCATTTTGATTTTGAATATTAGCAACAACAAACAATTGTATCGAATAGGATGTACAATATACAAAATATATTTTTGACAGATTCTTTTCTGAATGGAAACCACTTGTCAGAATATTCGAAAAAATAATAAAAGATATAATGGTAAAATTTTGTTTTGAATATGTGATGTGTCTGATCTTCAGAAATCCGATAAAAACAATTTGTTCAAATGTCGAACCATAGACAGCTTATACACCTAAAAATCTAAAGAGCTTTCAATACCTTCTCGATCTGTAATAATGGAAGTGAAGTTACAATATGTCTTTTAATAAAAAAGTATCTCTTATTATTTACTATTCATTACATTAAAATATTACTCTGTTTCTTTTTATGTAAATAATAGCTACACTACTTCCGTATCAAATAACCGATGAATTATTTGTTTCTATTCTTTCTCCATCCACTATTTATTCATTAAACATCTAGACATCAGTCAGTCTGACAGTAGTAGTAAAATGGTGTAATTACGTGGAAAGTACATGAATATACGAGTCTGTTTGAGATGTATCAGAGACCTAAACTGAATCGAATCGATATTTTCTTATTCGTTTTGGTTTCTGATTCGAAATCTAAACTCATTTTATCGTCAATGAACAGCTATTGTGAGAAAATCATGTTTTTTTATGCAGTTTGATCAAAATTTTTTAAGATCGAGAAATGAAATAAACAATCTCAAGAAATCAATTGCAGATTTGAATTTTTTGATCTTGAAAATATCTGATCAAAATTCATGAAGAATCATGATTTTTCTCCAATAGTTATTCCTTGATAAATGAATCAAACACACAATTTTTCCGTTGTTCACTCTCTGCTACATTAACAGTAACTTCCCTTGGTCGATAAGAACAGAAGATATGTCGAACGATACTAGAGAAATTTGAATAATGTCTACATGTATTTTTCCGTGATCTCTACTGAGAAAAAAAATGATTTTGTATACAGATGAGTACGTTCAATAGTGATAGTCAAATTGAATTGGAGGACGTAATCGTAGCTTGATATACATGAATTGATCAATTAAATTAAGGTGCAAACTAATATTGATTAAAAAGCTCACAATATAAACTTCAAGTTATGCTCTTTATGCATTAGTTTTAGGATAAACTCTAGAAAGAAGGCTCAAAGTGTAGTTTAATAAAGTCTTAACGAATCTTATAATCTACTGTTTATACAGTATATTCTCTTTATAGAAAAAAACCTTAGCATCTTTGTCTTCACCTATGAAGAATACTAAAAGTTCTAAGTTATTGGCAGAATCTTACATAAAAAAAAAGGCCTTTTCGTAAACGCTACCTCTCTTGCATTTTATGACACGTACGATATCGAATATGGCTATTCTCATAACAATCGTTGCATATAATCTCTGAAACTGTTTTCAATTAAAATTGAAAATTAATAAGTCGCAAGACAAGACTATAAAGACAAGCGGACCTTTAGGTCGATGTTAGTGTTTGTCAGATATTAACGTGAAATCATTTCGAAATGAAGTATTTTGTAGCTTTGGTATGTATTTTTTTTTATATTGATCATCAAGTGTTATTGTCGATGTAAAAAGAGTTGCTTTTTATTCCTTGACTTTATCAAATAAAACATTACAAAAAACGATAAGAAAGATTGTGTTGTCTCTTTCTGCCATCTAATTCTATCTCATATTATATATGGTTGAATTCATAGACCAATTAAAAATCTTTACTTTTCTGCCTCAACAGATAATGCGTATTTTGTCAAAAACAAAATGAAAAGAAAAGACAACCAAAAAGTCTTTTTTAGTGACTATTATCGATGATCATTAATAGTTTTAGATTCTTCGAATTCATTCGAAATGACTCAAGAAATTATTTCATCAGATTCTTCCAATGACAGACAATATGTAATTATCGATTGGTATTTACAACAACATGGTAGTTTTAGTAGTCTTGGTCGTTGGCGAGACATTTCACTAACACAATTTACTTCTACTAAACAATTAATAGATTATTTATTGCAATACATTGAACAGAACTATAAACATGTGAACATTATCGATAGACAATATAATGTTCTTGATTTATGTCGAATAGCTATCGATGAATCAGATAGATTGTTAGCTTCCAATAGCAATGAGATTTCATATGTAACCAGTCGTCATATTTGGCCACCACATCACAAGTTATTGATGGGATGTTTAATAGATGCACATATTGTTGCTGCATATAATGATCAATATACAATAAATCTACAAAAACAACATGACGAACAAGAAAATGATGATACTACTTATTGTTTAATTATTCAACTTGGAAATCATCCTACACATGTAAAATTTTTACGTGGTACCAATTCTTTACGAGAAGAACTTTTACAAAGATTTAAATATCCATTTCAAACGAATTCTACACCTACAGAATATCAAAATGAATTATTTCTTCATAAAAGTCAAACATTATCGATACAAGAATTTTGTAATTATGTGACAAGTCAAAGTTGGCATGAGCTTGATGGTACACATTTGTATGGTGTTCTCGTTGATTTTATTATTGCTGGTGAAACATTATTGTTTCACGAACAGATCATGTAAATTTTATTCGAATCGAACAATAATGATCGATTAAACTTTACATAATTAATATAGACCTTAGAAATATTACGAGATCATTAGTGTAATAAGTATTCGTTGTAATGACTCTTCTTTAATCAAGACTCGGGCTCATCAATAGAAACTGATCGTGTATTTTTTTTTCTTGTCTAGCATAGTTTAAAATTTATTCTCTTATTTAATCGTTCTCAGTATTCCAATTGATAAGATATACGAAGAAAAATCCTCATCAAACAATTGTACTACCTCAATAGATAACAATCATCTTTGGAAGAAGAACTACAATTCTGTTTAGCAATCCAGACCATTTGTTCGACATCTATGAATAGCCTCTTCAAGAGAAACTAGAGACATTTTCTCAAATCCTTGAATTGGTCAAAAATATAAAATGTCAAATCAACTCGAGCTTCACAACGTTTATACTGATGAAGCATCAATCTACCTCGCTATATTAGGTTGATCTTCATGGCAAACACTTCTGAAAAATTCTAATTCAAAATGACTTCGTCAAATATCACAACGTATTGTAATACTAAGTCTGTTGGTGATATTAGCGTGAACGCTCTTTCAGCAAACACTTTTGACTTATACGAGTTACACTTTAAAAAAGTTGTTTAATTTTATTGAGAAGACAGAAATCATGTCACTAGAATGTGGGTCTTCTCTTAGACTCCACTAGTGCATTTACATTCACACACTAGAGCCCATTGGATCCAAAGATTCTTACTTCTAACGAATAGCTTCTGATGATAGAATGAATATATGTATTAAAAAGAGTTTTATATTATTGTTTTTGTTTGACAATTATTCTATAATCAATAACATTTATTTTATGTTTTACTGAATTCTATGCATCAAAAACTAAAAAAAGAAAAAATAGTATGAATTTATTGCTCAAGAAGAATGAATTTGTTGATTTAATAAAAAAAAAAACTATGACAAATCATCCGAACCCGATGGGTTCTACCATACATACATACACTCTCTAATGATCAAAATATCTATTTATTCACGATAGCATTTCTTTTTCAACATAGAAAATAATGTCTCTATTACTATTGTTGTGTATATAAGAGAGTACGTTGTCGAAGAGCATGAATAATTATAGTCAGAGATAATTTTAATCATTCACTTTTATTCGTTTCTCTTCTTATTTTACCTAGTTGCGCATATACATTTTCATTTATTATTCTAAACGACAATATACTATATTTAAAGTAGGGTATGACGATGTTGAGAATAACGTGTTTGTATACAATGCAGTTTATTCACCTTATTACATTTGCAAATAATGATATTTTTTGTACCTACATTGTTTCGGACGTCGAAATATAATCCTATTTGAATTGTCTACACAGAAATAAAATCTTCAAATATTTTGAATTCAAGATATGAGTACGTCTATATATGAATTTGAGTAATTTTTTATTTTAGTACAAAACTAACCATGAGTCATCGAGATGATGATCGAATTTCTGTAGCAGATTGGTCTCATAATTTTACTCGAGGAAAAGAAGAAAAAGAACATATATCTAGTTCAAATCCAAATATTGATATCCAATTGACTCGTCGTACAAATCCTCGTCTTCTAACAAAAACTATAGTTGATGATTCTCAAAAAAATCTCCTTCCAATCATCGATTATGCTCTAGAACCTCTTCTTCCTCTACGAGATGCATGTTTACCTTTATCTTCGATTGTTTCTGATGTGGAAAATTATGTAGAAATAGCACTTCAACTATGTTCACAACCAAAAGATAATCTTACACACGATGAATTAGCAGCACTTTATCTATACACAATGGAATGGATTAATGGAAAACGTAGTCTTTATAGTCATTTAAATAGAACTCTAAGAAATACATCAAATCGAGATGAACTTCGACCATGGTATAAATATTTAAAACTTTTCTTGACAGCTCTTGCTAAATTACCTTTTGTCCCGGCTCAAGTTGTCTGGCGTGGTGTAAAAAGAAATATCAGTGAAGATTTTCCTCCCGGTTCTGAAATAATATGGTGGTCTTTTTCATCATGTACTACTTCACTTCGAGTACTTGAATCAGATCATTATTTGGGTAATACTGGCGAAAGAACATTATTTTCAATTGAAACAATCAACGGAAAATCAATCCGATCCTATTCACATTTTAATACTGAAGATGAAATGCTTCTTCTTCCTGGTACATACATGGAAGTTCAATCACAATTAAATCCAGCACCAGATCTTTATATAATTCATTTGAAACAGAAAGTACCTCAAGAAATTCTACTTGCACCTCCTTTTGAGAGTATTTCTTATTGATTAAATTTATGACTAGATCATAATTTTTATTTTCTAAAATATAGGTGCACTTCTCTATCCGAAGATGGAAGTAGAACGACCATGGTATAAAACGAAAATTTGTATATCTAGTATAAGTATCTTTATGATTATTTGCATTGTTGCTATCATAGTTGGTGCTGTTCTTGGTACAAGAACAAGTTCTCCTATCGTTTCATCAGGTATGTTTCTTATCATTTTTATATAAGAAAAGATTTAACTATGACTTTATTTAGTATGCAAATCTCGACAATTCAAGATCATAGCAGATATACTTTGGTCTTTTGATTGTTCAAGTGTAATTGATGATATTGGAGACGTATACAATGGTATAACTTTCAATAATATTACTTATATTAATCCAGATTTTTCTGGTCAAGGCAAAGCATTAAATTTAGATGCAAATAATAAACAATATGTTGATATAATTCCTTCACCTCAATTTTCAAAACGAACAAATTTTACAATTAGTATGTGGATAGGTTATGTTTACTTATGGGGTGACGCCGTTTTATTCAATAATTGTGATATGAATCTTTATCCATACGCATGTCTAACACTGGGTATATCGGATCGAAATGTTTTTATGTCATTAGCACAAAAGAAAGAATCTTTTTTCGGTAAGTTCATATAAGAAGAGATAACATTTAGACGTAGATTTTCTAGTGAATACTTTTAGAATAATGGACGATACAACAAATTAAGTACAATATCATATTCACTAATATTATAGTTATGTCTGTTTGATATGTCGCTGAATTAATAGGAGAACTGCATCTATATTGAATATCAACAATACCTCTATCATCTGAGAAATCATTCATGTATCGTGTAAATCTAGTATACATATCATAGGAATCTGCAGTAAGATTAATAGATATTGAATATATGAGTTTTATGATTATTTTCTATTCTTCATAATGATCTAATTCATCAATAAGATAGTAAATAGAATTTAGCTGGATTTTCATATCATTTCATGAGATTTAGCTTTAAAAGTTAATACTACTAAGGATTAGTGTACAAAGTCATTGATAGGCAGGTATTTGCTTTATGTAGTATGTTTTAGATCCAAGCAATCGTCTTTCTTCCAATCGTATCATCGATCGTCAATGGAATTATCTGTCGTTTCAATTTGATTCTACAACAGGCATTATATCAATTTATATTAATGGATATTTTGATCGTTCAAAAAATCTGACTGGAACCGAAGATTTAAATATGTTTGTAGGAAATGGAAAAACACGTATTGGTGGTCCCATATCTTCAAATATTAGTTCCTATATTTATGCTCAAACTATGCTCGATCAAATTTCAATATCATATGATTTAAAAAATGCAAGTGAATTATTACGTGAAGCATCATTACTTTTTCATTATCAATTCAAAAATTCTAGTAATATAAATGATGATTCTGGTCCAAATGCAATACAAGCTTATAGTCAAAATGTATATTATTCTAAAGATGGACTTTATTTTAATACAACAAATTCATTTTTCAAAACTTCAGAATTTACTATTATTCAATTAAATGATTATACATATTCAATTGCATTTTGGATTCAAATTTCTAATATTGACTTGTTCATAGATGACCAATCAATACTTATTTTTGATTTAAAAACTAAAATGTCACTTGGTGCACTTGAATATAGTTGTTTTTCTTATTTTTATTGGCAATATAATGTTTTTCATTATAAACTTTTACGTTCTCAACTTGGTCTTACTATTTCTACTAGTAATGATACGACACAATTCGAAATGAATAAATGGTTTCACATAACAGTAATTGATTCACCGAAAAATGGAATCGCACTTTATGTTAATGGTCAACTGAGTGGATTGTACAATAAGACCACTACTATTACCATTACATATAGATTTGATATAACATTAGGTACATCAATGATCAATCAATCACTTCCAAATATGTGGCCTTGCTTTGATTCTTTAACAACACGAACTCAATGGAAAGGAATTATTAATGATTTTAGATTTTATGCTCGTCAACTTAATCAAAGTGAAATTCTCGATATTATCAAAAATCAAAATATGACGAATCAAAAGTAAAGAAAACGTTTCATGCAAAAAACTTTTGTTTGTTCATTGTATCTCGATTTCATTTATTGTTTTTTGATACAATCGTTTCGAGTTTTCGTGTAAATATATATCTTGTTATTCTTCCTATTGAAAAAAAAACAACATGTTACTTAAGATATTTGTTAAACTTGATTATGAACTATTCATTAGTATGTTAAACGTATTCAAATATTCATTAATACATACCAAAGTTCAACATAGATTTAATATATATGAAACTGTAATCTATATTATTTATAAAATAATTCTTAATACAAATCAGTCATTATTTTCTTTTATTTGTATCAAACAAAAATTTCTTTTTCCTTTTCGTTTCTGTCCTATTGTTCCAATTAGTCTGAACAGAATTTGTCAATAATGAATATATATGAGTTATCGTTGAAAAGAGAACAACATTCCTTGATAATCGATATAGCTATGCATTTGTACTACACTGTTTTTTTCTCAAGAGGTTCATTCATTCATTCTATTTGTCGATGACAATCATAATAATGAGTATATATTTATTCAATTCAACTTTTCATAAGAGAATCGTCTACGGACGTATCTGGAAGCCAATGCATGATTCTATTATTTAATGTATCAGCCACATAGACAATTTGTGTTTGTCGATCAATCCAAACACCATTGGGCTTATCTAAGGATCCAGCATCCTCACTCGGAGCAGATGTATTCGATCTAGCAACCTGAATATCTGATGAACTGTCCTTGGCCCATTTTTGAATTCTGTTATTTGTTGAGTCAGCCACATACAAAGTATCGCTGCTTCGATCAAAATAAATTCCATCAGGTGTATTGAGATGTTTGTCCGTTTGACCAACAGTCAAATTCGTTTGAGCTGACCATTTAACTACATGATGTCTATCTGATTCTAACATGTAGACATTTTTTTCTGCATCCACCACTACACCAAAACACGATCGACATTCACCATCTAATTGAAAACCTTCTGTTGTTCCTCTTATCCATTTTTCGACTTGATTCTCAATGAAAAGTGAAATATAAATTGTTGGTCCATCTTCATTATCGTCAACATAAATCTTTGAAGGAGCATTGATATTGAAAACAACAGTTGGTCGCTAAACTCAATGATCGATTTAATGGTGTCATTCTTTTCATATGATAATTTGTTTCAAGAGGGAAACATCGTACTTCTGTACTTTACGTACTTTAATGTATTTTATTGTACTTTAAAGTATTTTAATCTAGCATAAGGTATCATACGATAGCTTAAAAGTACTTTATGGTACGTTAAAAATAATTCAAGGTGCTTATTAATAATCTTGCTTTTTATTATCCTTGCTTTCGTTTTTCATCTAGATTAAATTTTGAAGGATGTGGGTGTGGATGAAGAGAAGATTTACAGTCACATTTACACTCGCACCCACACCCACATCCTCATCAAATTACAAATCGTTTCGAGACATCTTCTTAATTTGTCACTATACGTCAGAAACAGAAATAAGAAATTTAGAATGTTTTTGTTAAAATATGTATATTGCGGCCTCTTTTGGGTACATATGAATTACTGAAGAATGGATGAAAACAAATTAAGAAAAAAAAGCGAACTATCTGAGCAAAAAAAAACTGAAAATATTCCACAAAACAATTCTTGATGAATGTAATCAAACCATTTTATTATTAGAAATGATGCTGATAATAATCCAACAATGAAGAGATCTAAGAAAATCTTTCAACCATAGAAAGTGCTACATCCTTGTCCTTGTAATGTTGCACAACACCGAAAATTGTATCACCTAAACGAGATCAATAAACGTATGGCATTATTACTTCAACATCCAACAAACAGGTTTATGAATGACTGAAAATGAAAAAAAAAACAATTTCATGAAATTGCAGAACTTCATCCTTATATTGGGCGTGCTTTAGAGAAAAAATTTCGAAAAATAGATTCTATTTTTCAAATTCAAAGGTTTGATTTTAAAATGAATTAAAACAAACTAAATAAAAATAATGAAAATAATCAATTTCGAAATAGTGATTCGAAAAAAAATAAAAATATTATTCAGAAAAAACACTGCATCAGAGAACGACGTCAGAGTTATGTAATTTTCTTTCGTTCTGGATACTTTTTTAAACAAATTATTCATTCTTAATGGATTTTTCTTTCTAGGAAAATTCAAATACTCAACATACTATTTCTTGTAATAGTTATGAATAATTATGAATAAAATATGATTTGCATGGCTTCAGAAGTTATTGCAACGATGCAGAGAAATAAAGAACAAGCAATGAATTATTGGACTTTTTTCTCTCTCAATTCAGCCTATTTATTGTATGAAATTCACATGTTTCAAACAGAAAACAAACTCAACATCATTTCTTTTCCTACGAATCTTGTATGATAGGACATTTTACACATAATTATTTTACTAAAAACGAAACAAAAAGAAATGTCTTCCAATCTAAACACTCTTCGAGACAATATCAATCAACTGCAAAATCGTTATGATAAGTTAGGTAATGAAGTTATTTCAAAGTTAAATGAATATAGTGATTGTTTCAAATGTGTAAATAATATATGTGATCAAGTAACAGAAGTGACTACAATCTTAGAAAATAAACTTATTAATGAATCGAATGAACAAAAAGAATGGGAAGATATCAAAGTTAAATTAGCAGCAACATCAATTAAAGATATGGTCATACTCAATATAGGAGGTGAAAAATATACCACAACTGTTGACACATTAACATCCAAAAAAGATACATTCTTCACTGCACTCTTCTCTAAAGAATCACAACTTGAAAGAGATCCTAATGATGGAAGTATATTCATTGATCGAAATGGTAAAATCTTTACTTATATTCTTGAATATTTCCGTACAAATACTGTGCCGAATAATATTATGCAAGATGAAACACTTCTCAATAGTCTTTTTATTGAAGCTGAATATTTTCGTTTGTATGATTTGATGGATCGATTAGGCGTTATTTATTTTCCGAATGGATCATTACTTCAACCAACACATCAAAGAAAACTAAATGAAATTTATGGTAAAATTTATCAACGATGGGAATTGATTTACAAAGCATCACGTGATGGATTTGATGCTAATGCATTTCATTCACGGTGTAATAATCAAGGACCAACAATGACAATTATTCAATCAAACAACAATTATCTTTTTGGAAGTTATACATCTATTTCATGGACTTCAGATGGTTCATATAAAAATGATCCGACAGCATTTTTATTCACTTTGATCAATCCTCATCATATTCCACCGACTAAATATCTCATTAATCCTGATAAAACAGAAAATGCAGTTTATCATCATACTGATGATGGTCCAATATTTGGAAGCAATCACGATATTTTAGTGAAAAATGTTAGCAATTCGAACAATTCAAGCTACATTAATTTTCCTTCTTCATATCTCGATACAACTGGAAAGGGTGATATTACATTCACTGGTACTCGAAATTTTACTACATCTGACATTGAAATTTATAAGTTAGCTTAAATTAGGTTTTATGCTGTTCATTTTTAACGTTCACTAATGAAATGAATTCATTTATGATAATCTTGATTTAAATATCTATTTAATCCGGTAATGTTCAGATTTTCGAAAAAAATAAATTTCCATCATAAATAATCAGATTTCAGAAATTACAACACAGCGAAAAAAGAGAATCCACAAAAAACACAGAAATTTACGAAAAATTTCTGAAATTCACCGAGATACAAGAAATAAACTTTCAAACAAAATATTTTTTTCAAAAATTTTCCCAGCCCGATAAAAAATTTCTCTGAATTGTGTTTGCATGTGCTGGCAGATTCTGCACCACTGATAGGATCTCCATCTTCATAGTACAATAAATTCATATGTTCAGAGAATTAATATATATAAATTTCCTATGTTACAAACGGTGGTTTACAGTTGTAAATGTTGAAATTTTCTAAAAATAGCTTCATGTGAATTCAATCATTCCAGAATGTAGCTAAAAATTTGCTTACAATTGAAAACGAATTATCTATTTTGTTTCACTAGCTTTACAGTTGGTCTCATGATAAGTTTCGAGGATTTCTGAAAATTTTCTCTAAATTTCTGTATTTTGTTGTCGATGAATTAATATGCTATGCTGGTAAGTTTTATTGATGTATAAATTTACTTTTTTCGAAAATCTGAATATAACTCATTAAATCGAGAAAATATTTGATGAACCTGATGATAAGTGTATGTTTTTCATTCTATGTAAAATATATTTCATAAAATATCGACAATATTGGCAAAAACTAATTGTATGATATGATAAAAGAAAATGTTTCGTTGCTCTCATTTTTATTAGTTTTATCACAATAGAACCTTATACATTGTCATACACAATTACACATGACGAACAGATGCATTTTATTAGTATAAATAGGGTTTTTTTTCTTTACAAAGACAAATAGGATTCTAGGAATTATTCTGTATGTTTTGATAGACTTTCGAATTAAACAAATAATTTGAGATTTTTTCCAAAAATGAATAAGAAAATACCGGAACCTAGATTTCAGCGCTGTTTGTATTAACCAAAAATAGCATAGGAGTAAAAGAAGATTAGTAATCAATTCATTTTTTCATAAATCCAATGAAATAGAAAGAATTTACGAAGAAAACATATAGTCAAACTAGAAGTCTAACAAAATTATCATTAAGAAAAACGTAAAACAATCTATTTAAATTAAAAATATATATCTTTTATAGTTTTTCGTCTTTATAGATTTATTGCTAATGAATTAAATAACTACCATTCATTAAATTGAAACACGATTCAAAATTTTCATAGACATGAAAGCAATGGACAAATTTCCAAAAAAACGAAATTTCTCTGCTAAATATTCATATTTCACAAACTGCAACCATTCAAAATGTAATTTTCAGAAAATATGAGAAACTACCATAACTACTCCAATAGTATTCAAAAACAAACATAAACACACCTAAAGAAATTTCCTGGAAATTTCGGAAATTATCTTTACAATAGAAAACAAAAATTTTCCCGAAACTTCGGTAATTACTCATACTAGAGAACGAAATTAGCAGATAATTTCCGTAAATGCCAAATTCACAAAAGGACATTTATCAGTAACTACGAAAAATACCAGCACATACGGACGAAATAACCAGAAAATTTCTATAATTCCCCAATTATATCTATACGATATATATGCAAAGAAATCATAGAAATTTCCATAATTACTGATAAATGTCCTTTCGTGTATTTGAAATTTACGGAAATTATTTAGTAATTTCGTACTGTAGTGTGAGTGATTACCGAAGTTTTCGAAAAATTTCTTTTCTATTGTGGTGGTAATTTCGTTGACATGTGCCTGAAAATTCGAAAACTTCGCGGAAATTTCTTTCTCATGGAATGGCAATTACAGAAATTTCATAGAGATTTCTCTTGATGGCCATGAGTGTCTGAAGATGGTATCAGAGATGTTTTGGTAGTTTCGAAAAGTTCCTTTTTCGGAAATCTGAATATACCTCAGACATGAATAAGATGCGAATGGTTATGGGTGACGGAAAAAGCAGACTCACACCCGCACCCACAAACCCACATCTATACTCCGCAGACTCTCACGCTCGTACCTACGCCCGGACGTACGCTTCATTCGTCATAGGCATTTTTCAAATAAATTAGTAATCATCAATGTTTCGTCACTGACAAAACAAACACAGTCGAATTCGCTGCGCATTATGTGTGGTAAGCATTTTGAAAACATATGAATAAAGTATGAGTTGCTTTGGCTGTAAACGTAATCGAAATGACGTAGAGAAATAAAAAACAAACAATCAGTTATTCAGATTTTCTCTTCTCTCGATTCAGTTGTTTTGGTATTTAAACTACGTATGTCAAACAAAAAAGAAATAACGTAAATCATTTTTTTTCTTGCCGCGTTTGAATAATAAGACACTTTGCAAATAACCATTTTACCGATAATGCAAAACAAATGGACTCCAGTTTAAACAGTGCCTGAGACAATTTTAATCAACTGCAAAATTGTTTTTATAACTTACATAATGAAGTTATTGCAAAGTTTAATGAATGTAATGACTGTTTCAAATGTGCAAAAAACAATACAGTGTGGCGCCAAAAAAGCATGTACATTTTTGTTTTTACGCATGAACGAATAACAAGGATACTCTGAAAATTTTTTCTCATATCAGACTCTGTAGAGCTTTTTTCGCTGATCATTTTGGTAAAAAAAGTTTTTCATTTTCATTGAGTAATGATGATGTTATAGTCAAAATACTAAACACTGTAATATAAAGTAGGGAAAAAAGTTTAGCACACTTTTAGTATTTGGCTAATTTTTACAGTATTTCACAACATCTGATAGATGTTCTATATACCATTCGATGCAGAATTTAATGGGCTACATTTTGTTAACAAGCACTTATACTTTTATTGTAGTTAATTAATTAATTAATAAAATTTTGATTTGTTTTTAAATTCCAACTCTTTCATATGAAAGAGCATAAACAACTGAACAAAACTCTATAATTACTATTTGGAAAGCAACGAATTTCGTGAGGTTTTAATGTGATTTTCAGAGTATGTTCAGTTGTAATTAGATATAGTATTCATTATTTTTTAATACATTCAACCATAAAACGACATATGAGATACGCGAAAACTGGCGCATTTTAAAGAGCATCATTTGCTCTTTAGAATGACATATAGTGAAGACCCAAACAAGCATAGATATTTTTAATTTTTACATATATACATACTCTGAAAATCACATTAAAACCTCACTAAATTCGTTGCTTTCCAAAATAGTAATTATAAAATTTTGTTCAGTTTTTTATGCTCTTTCATATGAAAGAGTTAGAATTTAAAAACAAATCCAATTTGATTAATTAACTAACTACAATTAAAGTATAAGTGCTTGTTAACAAAATGTAGCCCATTAAATTCTGCATCGAATGGTATATAGAACATCTATCAGATGTTGTGAAATAACGTAAAAATTAGCCCAATACTAAAATTGTGCTAAACTTTTTTCCCTACTTTATATTACAGTGTTTAGTATTTTGACTGTAACATCATCATTACTCAATGAAAATGAAAAAAGTTTTTTACCAAAATGATCAGCGGAAAAAGCTCTACAAAGTCTGATATGAGAGAAAATTTTCAGAGAATCCTTGTTATTCGTTCATGCGTAAAAACAAAAATGTACATGCTTTTTTGGCGCCGCACTGTATGTAATCAAACAACAGAAATGAATACAATCTTAGAACACAAATTCGCTAATACATCGAATGCACAAGAAGAATGGAAAAAAATTAACAGGAGCGTCAATTAAAGCTATAGTCATACTTTATGTAGAAGGTGACAAAAAATATAGTTATGGACAAAAGTCTACACCGTAGTCGAACTTTGTCAAATGGAGTGATAAGATGAAAGCCTTTTTATTGCGTAAAAAGCTTATCATATTCTCTTATCATTAATCTAAAGTCATTAGCTTTTTCAACAACTTCCGAAATTCGGTTGTTGATACTCTATACTAGTTTAGTAGCCAACTAGGTTCATTTTGAGAAATCGCTTGCAACATATAGGTGATATCGACGATCAATCCATGCCGTCGAAACGTGATCAAATTGTTTGCACATTCATTCTGCGTTTAAATTTTTGCTACACCAGACTATGGGATCAAAATAGTGACCTTAAGAGGATGCTTGAGAGTTTACAAGACCCTCTTTTTTTCCAAGCAAGTTCCAAACCAATTCTTTGACTGAATTCATACGAATAGTGGTATCAGTTTGTAGCTTGTTGATTTTAAGCTCATTTTAAACGCTTCTCTCGATGACTTTCAGTGAGTAATGATTTCAACAAAGATCGATTGTATTTCGCTTCTATTTCGTTCAAATGTCGTCATAGCACTGTTCTTTCATTGATCTTGACTCTTTTCTCTGTCAAATAGTTCGTAAAGTCTGAGTTTGAGATGCATAATTGTTGTTCGGCGAATAAAATAATTTTTTTTTATTCTGCTGTTGGAGCCAATATTTTATCATTGTCATAGCCCAATGAACTGCTTTCATCGCAGTCGCATAGCTAAGCTTTGGGCCTAACGAACGTTGAAATAAAAACACAATGTTATATCACTAAAGCACTGGTAAAGCCATACGTTACAGCTGTGCGAAAGCTATTAATTAATAACAACACAGGAAGAATAAATAGTAATTCTGATCAGCAGCCAGTAGACACTGCTTGTTTATACTAAATTTATCGAAAATTCTAGAATTTATAAAGAGTTCTGCTAAGATGTGGACTTTGTTCGCTGCTCTATGTTTCTTTTATAATGGATATTTCTCAAAAAATTATTCATCTTCAATATTTTCTCCGACAAAACGGACAAAGTTCAACTTGCTGCGTATTATTCCTTCCAAAAACTTTGAAAAGTCATGAATAAATTAAATTGGCGTAATTTCAAGAGTAATTTCGACTATTCAAAAAGGAATGCAAGACAAACGATGAGTTATTGGAACTTTCCTTTCCTCTGACATCTGTTAATTTGTGACCTATAAAAAGCGTGTTTCAAACAAAAAAAAAGCCACCAACGAACATCATTTCTTTTTCTACGAATCTTGAATAAGAAGGCATTATAAAAATATTCATTTTGTCAAAAAAGACAAAAGAAATGAATTCCAATTTAAATACTATTCTAGACAATATCAATCAACTGCAAAATCATTTTGATCAATTATATAATGAAGTTATTTCAAAGTTAAATGAATGTAGTGATTGTCTCAAATGTGTAAAAAATATATGTGATCAAGTAACTGAAATGGTTACGACCTTAAACAACAAATTAGCTAATGTATCGAATGAACAAAAAGAATGGGAAGATATCAAAGTTAAATTAGCAACAACGGTAATCGAAGGTATGGTCACACTTAATATAGGAGGTGAAAAATTTTCTACGAAAGTTGAAACGTTAACACGTGAAAAAGATACTTTTTTCACCGCACTCTTCTCACAACAATGGCAAATCAAGAGAGATCCTAATGATGGAAGTATATTCATTGATCGAAATGGTAAAATCTTTATTTATATTCTTGAATATTTCCGTACAAATACTGTGCCAAATAATATTATGCAAGATGAAACATTTCTCAATAGTCTTTTTATTGAAGCTGAATATTTTCGTTTGCATGGTTTGATGGATATATTGACGACAATGTTTTTTCCTCATGGAACATTGCTTCAACCAGAACATAAGAAAAAATTAAATGAATTTTATGGTATAATTAATCAAAAATGGGGATTAATTTACAAAGCATCACGTGATGGATTTGATGCAGCTACATTTCATTCATATTGTGATAATCAAGGACCAACAATGACAATTATTCTATCAAACAACAATTATCTTTTTGGAGGTTATACATCTATTCCATGGACTTCAGATGATTCATATAAAAATGATCCGACAGCATTTTTATTTACTTTGATCAATCCTCACAATATTCCACCAACTAAATACGGCATCAATTATAGTCATGCAGAATATGCAGTTCGTCATCACAGTAGATATGGTCCAACATTTGGAGATGGTCACGATATCTACTTAGCAGATGGGTGCAATTGGAAGAACTCAAGCTACACTGGTTTTCCAAGGTCATACTTCGATATAACCGGAAAGGGTGAAATTACATTTACTGGAGCTTATAATTTTACCATATCTGACATTGAAGTATTCAAATTAGTTTAAATTATTCTTCGTAATACTAATTTTTAATACTCATTAATGAAAACGAATATGCAATCTGATTATCTTGTTTTTACAATCTAATTAATTCAGAAAATATTGGAAACTGATAATGTACATGTTTTTCTTTTTAAATATAAAAGATATTACACAAACAATAATGCGGATCAGAATGATTATAATTTATATGAGAAAATAAAAAAAACATGTCTTCATTTTTCTTTTAGAAGATGCTCAGGACGATCAGTTTCATTTAGACAGATTGATTGTAACTTTTCAGTCTTCAAAATCCTCTTTTAAAAAAATCTATTGATGATAGTGGCACCAACCAACTTCATCTCTTTTGAATGAAAGAAATTCATAGAGAACTAAAAATTCCCAAGTATTTTATAAACAAAATAGATTTACTCGTTAACATTAATTGATTTCTTCGAAAATGAATTAACTTTTAAAAATCGATCTTTGAATTATTTCACTTGCTTCCATAGATATGTAAAATGTTAGCTACTATTTGAATCATTGAGATGATGTTTGACAAGATCCTAATAAGTGGTTGAATAGAATACACTAGTGAAAATACTCATCAATCGTGTACTCCTTAGTGGAAGAGCTCGACCTCCCTACAAATCTTCGAGCCCCTCTGAGAAATAAAATGCATGTTTCAAAAAACTTGTTACCGGAAGTATATGATTAAAGTATTTTAGCGGTTTATCTAATTGATCCCTTATTGTTTGTTGATTATTCATTAAGGATTGAATATTTTTTTAAATATATTAATAAAGATCCTTTTAAGTGTAGTTTTCTAAATCTAAATATAAAATTCTATATGAAAATATGAGGTTTTCAGATTAGTTGTAAAATACTGTGAAACAAAAAGAACTAACAACTCTTGTAATCACTAAAAGATTGGAAATAATTATGAATTTAAAAATATCTATTTAATTTTCTTTTTTGTGTAGTAATCAGCACTGTGTATTTATTTGTAATCAGACTTCTCTGTTTTACTATACTCTTACTTTATACTGTAGAGATAAAGAGATCTTCATCATTGATGGAGAAAGTCAGATATTTCTTTATTTTGATACAATGAAAATCAGATTTTCTGTATTTTTAATGAATCAACGAAAAGAATCAAGTTTTGAAAAAAAAAATGAAAATTTATTATTGAAAAATATAGAATATGATATGGATTTGTAGAAAAATAATTATTGCTCATAATAATGTCCTACAATTCTTTAACCATTGTATATTTTCTTAAAAATAAACTTTCTTTTCTATCAATAAAGATTTCCTTAACTCTCTTATTTCTTTTGAAAAAAAAACGCTAAATATAAAATGATTGATGTATTTTTCAAATTCTTTGTGTTCTCAAAATTTCATTTATATGTCTCAATTTTTCGTTATATTCATAGGAGGTGAAACGATTCTAATCTACAAGAGGCTCAAAACTTTTCAGGAAGTGATAGGAAGGTTACGCATTTTACTAAACTTAATAATAATTGTTGATTACATTTTTAGAAGAATGCGACAGTCACGCTCTATTAGTGAAGAAATGAAACTTTTTTCTCTTCTCAGTCAATAAATTGAGAAGAGATAGCCACCGAAACTGTGTCAGCTGATTTTCTTCTGAGAAAAGTGCCGATCTAGAATAACATTCGATGATCTTCATATATATAAAACTGAAGTGAAGAGCCAGAATAATAACTAGAAACTTTTATATAAAATAACAAAGCTTCGAATCCATAAAAGTAATGAAATATAGAGAAGATGAGAATGAAGAGATACAAATAGATTTAAAAAAATCAGCACAAAAAAAGAAATAATAATTGCTGGAATAAGAGAAGCGTCAAATCATCGTTTTCCATTATTTTGTTTCTAATACTTTATTCTCTTTAATAAATTTAATGATGTCTTTGCTCCTATTATGTATAATCAATTGTGATTTTAATTGATTTCCACCACTACCTTTGCTTTTCTTCAAACGAAATTCTCTTGTACCCGTTGTCAATGTATTATATTTTAACCATAGTAAAATTGGTGATGATATATTCTGATTAGCACGACAACATTTATATTCTTCGTTATATTCTTGTAATTTTTGATCAAACTTTGAACATAATTCTTTACCAATTTGTTGTAGTCGATCTTCATTCTCTTTTTTGTCATCGTCTACTTCGATCGCTAGAACATAAGATGGTTTATCAATGAAAACCGAATATTGCGGTGCAGAAGAAGTGAATTGTTCTTTGTATTCCAATAAGATTAAATCGATTATTTCACGTAATTCCATTTCAGTAACATGTTCAGTTATAATTGATAAATATTGACCACGTCTAAATAGTAAAAACATACAATTTGCATTCTTGTTACAGTTTCTCGCTCAGGATAACATCGTTATCAAATATTATTGACAGTAAGTTTCAAAAAATCAAACAAACCTGCCAACAAGCTTCCATACTGGTAATGTATAATAATGTCCTGTTACTTTGATAATATCTTCTGTTCTATATCGATATAAACCATCGTAAGTTGTTAATACAACTTCATATAATTTTCCTTCTATAACATAGAAAAAGAAAAATGATTCAATTAAAAGTAGAAACTCTTATTTTTACCGTCAATTTGACCTAACTCTAATGATTCTGGTGATTGATCATCGTCGTCATCATCGCGATCATCATTTTCGACTTCAATGAATTCATAATAAACTGATCGTGGTAATGGTATTAATTGATATGAATTTGTTGTTAATGGTACTGCAATACGATGATGTTCACTCATACCATAAACATAAGGAAAGATTGGCACGACAGGATCCCAATATGTTGATAGGAATTTTAATTCGAATTGTTTAAAATTTTGACTTATTATACATATTCCACATTTTAAATTAGGCCATAAACGTCTATTAATGTGATGGAAGCCATTTTCACTAACAATTTGATGTAATTCTTGTGCACGACTAGGATTTGGTGGTAAACGATAATTTGATGATTGTAGAGCAAGACGTACATCAATTGGTAATGGTGATGATAATGATTCATCTGTTGGTATTGTACCCTAGAAGAACAAGTGAAACATATGTGTATACTACAGAAACAAATGAATTTGACGAGAGAATAATCACAAGTGTATCTCGATCTTTTCTATTTCATATTGTCAGTGATACAAACCATTTCAATATGTTTACAAATAAAATCGAATTTCTTTTCCATAAACGTAAAAAAGTTGACTAATCCCATTATAAATACTGATGATATTACTTCTAATTCTTTACATTGTAACGTCCATAACAATATAAATAAAAACATATCATTTGAATCTGTTATTTCATTGAATATAATGGATGGAACAATATCTTGATTAAATTTTAATATTGTTTCAATATTTTGTTTCTCACGTGTTGCAATTGCTGTTATAGCACTCATCTTATATGTTTTTAATTTATCTTTTGTGACATGTGTTTTATAATATAAACTATTCAATGATACTGCTTTACAACCATTAAAAAGATTGAATGGTACAGATTTTGTTAACATATAACATATATTATATGCTTCATTTATATCAAGTGAATAACTATGTACGAAAAGGAAAAAGAAAATACATTAAAAGAAAGACAAATTTTGATTGAAACAGATCTTATGAAAAAAAATCCCAAACGAACAGGTTTTCATCAAAAAATAAGAAACTGGCATTAGATTCGTACGCAGTCTGCAAATCCAAGTGGAAAAGAGTGTATTACAGTTTTCAGAGATTTCCTGAATAGATTTCTTTTGATTTCAAAGTGGACTTCAATGTAAGGGAAAAGTATAAACGTTATCATATATCTTCAAGATTTCTCAACATGTCTGAAAGGAGATAGATAAATTCTCGAAGACTATTATCTATTCGCTACTGTAAGAGATGAAAGGCTGGAACTTTGATTATGTGATAGAGAAAATATTCTTCTATATAATTTCAAATCATTTTTATTTTCAACTTGCTCTGCCAATTCTAGGAATAGAAAGTTCCTCTGAAATGTACTCTATCGATACATTATACTATTGAGTACTCGTTGACGTCTTTTTTTTTTCTTTCTTTCTTTCTATCATACAAAACAAAACGCTATTTACATTGGGTAATACTTTGGTTCTCCACTTGTTCCACTGGTATTTGTTAATGCAATTGGATATCCAATACTCATAATATCTTTCGTACTACCATCATTCATAATTTCATCAACATACGGTTTATAATCAGAATACGTTGTATAGTTTGGAAACAATTTTCTAAGAAGAAGATGTTTAATAGACGAGAAATACTTGTGTTAATCGAGTATCTTACTTAAAATTTTCAACAGTTTCAATAGTATCTAAATTCATTTTCTTTCGTTGTTCTATTAAAAGTTTTGTATTTTTATTTTGTTTCAATATATTAAATAATGTTTTTCGATTTATTTTCTGTTTAATCGCATATTTTGCATCATAATCGAATCGAAAACCTTTATATTGAATTAATAAATATTGAAATAATAATATGCATTTGTTCAGAAACCATGACCATAACCACATTTCTATTGATAACAATTTTTTCGCCGTTTATCTAGAAGACAAAGAAAATAAATTGTGACAATTTCAATGAAGAAATGGCAGCATCGATAGATTAATGCATTACTAGACTTCTTTACGTCCTCGATGGCATCGTTTATGTACAGAACATGCGCCTATGTCTGTGGATGCGAGAGAGTAAAAGATAAAAATGGCACGAAGAGAAATCAGGAGAGATGAGAGAGGCATAAGGATATCGTCGTAAGTAGGAGAGAGAGAAAGAAGAAAAGATAAGAACGACATCAAAAGAAACTATAAGAATGAGTAACATATGGATATTATTATACGCATATCTTCGTCATCGATATTCATTCGGAATTCGAGTTCATATCTAGCACTTTTTCAGATTCATAAAATGTGAATTTTATTGCAATGATTAACCCAAATAAGGAGCAAATATGAACACTTTTCCAAATAATCGATGTACAGAAGTATTGAAAAGATGACCCAAAATTGATACGAACTAATTAGTATACAATATTTTCATCAAGTTGGAAGAACTAAAAAACCGAGACGGATTGCTACTTTTGAGTTGCTGTACCATTTTGTGACCGAATTTGAATATTAGTTTAACTGCATGTATTGGAGTAATCGACATCCACTGTGTTGCTACAGTGCATTTAAAAGCGGTTCCGTTAGTACGTAGCTTCATGTACTATACAACAGTGATGCTTGTTGCCATGATAATCAGTCAGTGGTCTTCGATAAAATACGGGTAGCCATCGAAGTTCAATTCTAAAGAGTTTGTTAGAATCATGCACCTATAAATCATACTCGTCATTATCGTTATCTAGTGTTGCATCTAAAACTCTCTATTGGAAGAAAATAATAGGTGCGGTTGTTGATGTTAGCATAAATCGTGAGTACACCAATCGAACTCGCTTCGTTGAATTGAATTTCCTTGTCCTTTTCATAGAGTTATCAAAATCTTGCTAAGGATCACTAACTGATTATTACGTGAAAAATCTGTATTATTGAACAATACATAGAACTTCGTAGTAATGGATCCTGTTTTGAATGATGAAAGTCGCAGCTTTTTATATTGATCCTATC